ATTAAGCAACCTATGACTACATCATGGAGACATACGTGGACTTTCTCAGAATAAGGAGCAGATCAATTTCAAAGTTAGAAATAAAGTCTGGGTTGTCTGATGCATATTGCACTGCCCTGTTTACTGGACTGGTCCACTGGTTAAGCTACTTGCTGATGTGCCCATAAAAATTCCAGCAATCTGAAATGGAGAATTCTCTCTACTTTTTACCATTACGAAACAAGCATCTTTTTTAGTTCATAATATGCTCAATTACCTTTAGATTGATCTGTGAATAAATTATAATAAAACCAGACTTATTCACCTTAAGCTCTCCGGCTTAAGGTTTCATTGTTGATTCATTATGTTGTCAGTTCTCTCTTGGCAGAGTAATGCATTTTTATATCTGGATAGAGACAGTTTTAGTGGAAGATACTGTTATCTTTAAATGAGTAGGATTTAGCTTTTATGGTGAGAACAAATTCATCAATGATGAATTCCTGGAGAAATTACTGAAACAAAAATCACAATGTTGCTGGAGATTTATACAGTTCATCAGTTAAAAGGCAGATTTGGAAGTCTGGAGAGGGGGAGGAATTTGGATTTTTCCTTTCTTTCTGCAAAATACTCCAGCACAATATTTCAAGCTTCCAGTTTTGTGATAATGCAATTGTAAACGATGAAATAATACCACTTAATACATTTATTTTGGTTCCGTTCTTGATGTTATCCCTCCAATAGAAACACATTGAATTATGGCTATATAGAGACAGATGGATACAACTAATGCAGCTTTAGACATCACTGATACAGATATATAAGTAGACAAAAATTATCTAATTACTTTGTTTGTTGCAATCTTTTCAGCACTTGCTATGATCCACATATTCATATTAACTGTTTTTTTTCTAGGCAGATGTTGACATGACAAAGATATCAGTGTATGGAGGGTTTAGTGACATTGGAATATCTGGAAATTAAAAAAAAATAAACAAACAACCTACTGTAGAAAGATTTCAAAAGCAGAGTTAAACTCTCCAAGTTCTGTGCTTTTACTTTCATTTGGAATTGTGCTATTAAATCCCCCATGTGCTTAGGAAGATATCCTCTACAATGATTAGAGGTTTTTTAATTTTAAACTCTCTTAAATATCCATCTTTTCAACAGTTATTTCACTGTGTTTCCAGTTTTGCTATATTCAGAAACTCACTTCATTAAAATATTGTTTGCCGTTTCATATGGCCTTTGACTCCAAAATGTTTGAAACCACAACTCTGAACAATAAGCAGTCTCATCAACTTTCCCTGTATCTGTGTGTTACTCATAAGGGGAACCATCACTAAGTCCTTCCTAAGCTCCTGAGGCTACATTTTCATGTATTATGTATTGTTGTAGAAAAAATTGCTGATTTTCAGTGGTGTTTGATGAAATTTGGCTGGGCTGCTTGTGAACTACTAGACTCCAAACATGAAGTAACCAGGCTATTTGTATGGGCACACAGTCACCTTCTGTTCAGTCAGTGGAAGCTCATTGTGTATGCTCAAGCCTGGACTAAGACCTAGGTGTTTCCTTAATTAGTTTAAATTCCATTTAATCAATTTCTTGATGGAAAAACAGCAAAGCACAGCAAAGACTAAGGTTGGATGCTAATTTTCTAGATTAATAATAATTTCATTTATTTTTAAAAGATACAGATTATATAGTTTAATTTAACTGCATGCATGTCATTACAAAGCATCTGAATTATGGTACTGATGGCTTTGCACACTTTTCAAAATGCCTGCTGTACATTCCAGCTAGCAGCTAAGTAAGATGTAGAAATCTAAGTACTACCATCTCACAAGTTAGAAAATGAATTAATTGTCTTTGTAATTTGCTCTTCACCTATACACAAAAATTCTTTTTCCACACTTTTCCTTAGATCACCTATTTAATTTCAATATACTCAGTATTTCTGTCTGTAGAAATTAGGAGAACAGAAAAGTAAAGGATTTATTCTTCAAAGACTTGGCTATTCTTCCCAAAGATGATCTTCACTCAGCCAAACCATGAGCAACTGTCTCATCTCTCTACTACTTCAGTTAAAACCTCAGCAGAATTAGCTTTGCTGCCTGCTCTGAACGTCAGCAGTTCAATTCCTGGCCAGACAGGGAAGGGTCCAAAAATGCTTTGTCATCAGGTCTCCTGCCCTCTCAAGCCCAAAGTTGTTGGTATCAGCACATAAATTATGGAAAGAAAATAGTTTCTCAGCTGCTACTTATTCGTATCCAAAATGTATTTCTAATTGATGCACCCTAAATTACAAACAAGAACGCTTTTAATCAAAATCAAAATTTGTATTTTTTAGATTTTTGCTAAAAGCCTTAGGCTTTCTAAAAGTCATATAAAGAATTGATTCTCTATATGTGTACTTTAGAAGCTATTGATTAGATTGAAATTAGACAAATTCTTCCTTCTACTCATTTTCCTGTTTAAAATAATTATGGTTTTGTTGTCTTGTTTGACTTAGGTAGGTAGGGCCACTACCTTTACTACTGCTTGCAGTAGTATTTAAAACCTTATTTTAAGTCATCCTAGAACATTTTCTTTCCAAGATCATGTATGGCCACTGCACAGAAAGAAAAGTTTGTTTGCTGTCTGTAACGAAGCCCTTGACATGACATTCAGTAACAAAGTTCTCATTGAACTGACAAAACAAGAGCCCTTTGCCGATGGGCAAACTCGGGCTACATGTAGATTTGGGACAGATGGGTCTGCAACATTCCCCATGGTTGTGGTCTTGCGTTTGCCTAGATGGAGGCTTTGTCCCAGGGTATGGCTCAGTCCCAGCCTGCAGGAGGGCACCTCCTCTGGAGAGCACCATGAGACTGCACGTCTTGTTCTGACTTGAAGTTAAAAACATCTTGAGGCCACAAACCAAGTCTGGGAAGCAGGGAAGCATTTCAAGGACCTCACCCTCTGGCTGTATGCTCAGAGTGCCAAAAACCTAGCAGCTAAGAAAGCTTTTATTTGTCATGACAAGAAGCCAGAGGTCCCAAGGTTGGGTATTGTGACTGTCAGAGCTCCTTGAGGGATTTTTCTCCTAACGATTAACAGAAGAACAGGGTAACCTCTTCCGAATTTACTTAATTTTAAAAAGTAATAGTTTCTAAATTTTTTAAATAATTCTGGTTTTAAAATTCACATTGAAATTCCCTCTTAAAAGATTGATAACCACAGCAGTACTGTATCTTGTTTGATATGCTCTTTGACGTTGTATTATTAGCGTGAATTAATGCTAGCAACTGCTGAGGCTATGTGTCCTCTGTTACTACCTGCTAGTTTCTGCAGTGCTGCAGTAGCTTCTGAATGGGGTTTCGTAGGGTGGATAAAACACTTTTGCAGAATAAGGAACTAGTTTCATGGGAGGAAGAGCATGGTCTTTTGCATCAAGCGAAAATCCATGTTTTCTACCATTTTTCATTCACCTAAATCTGTGATTTAGGCACACAATCAGTTGTCCATATCTCTGCTAGGTAAACAAAGGGACTTTTTCTTTCAGGAAACTGAGTGTTTTATGAAATCTGAACCAGTGCTTTCATGTTCTTGGGTGAGACATAAGTTTTGTGATTCAGTGAAATCTTCATCTAGAGTTTTCTTAATGGGATTCAAGGATTAAATATTGCAGAAAAGATGCCAACAAAGAGGTAAATTAGGAAATAAGAATGTGTTTCAGTTCATTTGGTGTTTGTTAGCCTTACTTTGACAGATCAAGACAACCTTCTATTATCAGAATGCAAAATACATGTTTGTAAGCTTTGAAAATATGTATCTATACATTCAGATATCCATACAAATAATCTTAAACACTTGTGGAACCCTTCTAAGCAAACTGATAGTTTTATGATACCTTTCCACATTCTATATAAAGAAATTTCCACATTTGAATTATTTAACATGATACATCTTTATATATAAGCAAGTGTGCAGTGGGGAAATACAAGACTGTTGGATGCTGACCTGCAATTCAGCTATTTTTCTGCTGTGGTATATTAATATTTTAATATTCAATATATATTTTCAAGTCAGATCCTGAAATTCATATTTGATTTTTATTCACTTCTCACTCTGGTACAGTCTCACTGATTTCAATTTCAACTTTCTGAAGAAGAAGCAAGTCTGTCCTGGTTTTCTCTGGGATGGTTAGTTTTTCTTTTCAGCAGCTAGAATAGTGCTATGTTCTAGATTTAGTACGGGATTTATTATGAGAAGAATGTTGATAGTGCACTGATGTTTATAGTCGGTGCTGAGACATTGAGGACCTTCCAGCTTCCCGTGTTTGGCCAGTGTGCAGGAGCATGACAGGCTGAGGGGGAGCACAGCTGGGGCAAAGGGCCCACAACTCCCCTTAGGATTTGAAATTAGATTTAGGATTGAGAGCCAAATTGGTCAATGGAGTATTCCATATCATGCAACGTCTTGCCCAGTATATAGATGAGAGTAAACCAGGAAGCTGGAGTACTCTCTTTTGGGGAACTTTCTCAGTCTCTTCTTGGACTTTCAGTCTTTCAAGTGTTATCCCTCTCTTGCTCTTTTTGGGTCTCACACTCATCTGGGATTGCAGTTTTGGGACTTATCTGTTTCAGGATCACTTGCCAGGACATGACAGACATTTGTCACTGGGTGGTGAGCAATTACACTGTGCATCACTTGTTTGTATATATTATTATCACATAATGTCTATTTTAAATATTATTATTGATATTATTTTATCATCATTACTATTACTGGTTTTATTATTATTAAATTGCTCTTATCTCAACCCATGAGTCTCCTTGCCTTTTCCCCTTTAATTCTCTTCCCCATTCCCTGGGGGTGGGGGAGGATGAGCAAGCAGCTGCCTGGCGTTTAGTTGCCGGCCAGGTTAATCCATGACAAAGTCGCATTCAGCAAGGAGTTAGGATCTTGCCCTTGAGATTAGACTCTCCTTTTTGCTACACCTGCTCATTAAGCATAATCATGTTTCCTGACTTTTGTTTCAGAAACTACCCAGTTTTGGGCCTTACCTGGAACAACGCAAAAAGATAATAGCTGAGAACAAGATGAAACTGAAGGAACAGACCATGGCTGCTGTGCTTCCCAAGAAAAAGCATTTCATTCCGAAGAAGCCCATTCCAGCAATCAAGGTAAAAAAATACATGCTTATGCATAAGAAATGATCAGCCATCAGGCAGTTGACATGCACAGTCATTTCTAGCAGTTTGAGTTGGTTATTACTGCTTTTAAGCTTGTTAGAGGGCATCAAAGACAGCTATTTATGCAGACTTTCTCGCTTTTAACCAAAATTGATGGGAAATGATTTGTGATGTACATGTATAGGTATTTCCCTAATGTCATTTTCAAAATGAAGATATTGGTACAGTAATTGTAGAACAAGGCACAGGTAACACCTTGAAAAATGAAGTAGGATTGTTAACAATTTCTTTCAGCTTGACTGCTATAGTATGAGCTCAGTTTTGCATGATAACTTTTGATTACTTGCAATGGGCGGAACACCTTCATCTCTCATGCAGGATCAATGGGAAAGGTTGGTGTTCAGTACATGTGAAAGCTGTGTCATAGGTTTTCAGACTGAACTTCTAAAGCTGGGGAATGTTTGTCTAAGTCGCTGATCCACCATCTACAATGAGTAAATGTCAAGGTGAAAATAAAACCTGTGACCCCATCTACTGCATAATCCATACCTTTGAGCTTTTCCTTTCCCTTAGGTAGCCAATAGATGTCAATAAAATGAAACGTCAGAAGCTAATTATTCTAGGTGTTCACTTTAGACCTTACTTAAACTTCATGTCTGAGTAGGAAATAGAAGCAAGCAGAAAAAAAAAAAAAAATTTACAGTCAGAATTCTCATGTAGGCCCTTTTATAAAGCAGTGTGAAAATGTTATCTGTTGAGCTTGTTGACTGTCTTCCTCATATATGTGAGAATATCAGATATCTATAGATAAGCAACTTTCACTATATGATCAGACCTGTAAGAATTCTTGCAAAAATAAGGCCAAACATAAAATACAATATGAACACATATTGTAAATAACACATAATTCCGAAAGGAATTTTGCAGTTTCCCAACACATGTAGTATTCCTGTAGCTAGCTGGTAGAACTGCAAAACCAGCCAAGGAGAAATTTTGAGTTGTCTTCCTGTTTAAGTTAAATAGTTTGTCACTTCTGTAGATCTCTCTCAGTTTTTTGGGCTGCTTATTTTGGTTTATGTCATGCTATTGAAAATCGCTCCCCTCCTCTTGTCCTGGGGTTCCTTTCTTTATGTATTCAAAAAGTTCCAAAGAACAGCAATCTACTCTTTTTTTCCCCACTATGATGAGCATTTTCAATGCCTACTTGACCTCAGAGGTTTTATGGTTCTGTTCTCTTTGCAGGGGGAGTATTGATGTAGGAAAAAAGAGAAAGAAGAAGTAACAGCCAATAACTGCATTTTCAGAGAGAGAGCTTGCTTCTGAAAACAGTAGAAAACCAAAAAACTCATACCATCCAAAAGCGAATAAACTGAATGAAGGAAAAAGTTTAGCAAGAGGGAAAAACAGACATAAAGGCTTGAAAAAAACATAAATAAAATGGTAAGGTCAATAATTTATCAAGCCTAACTCCAAGTACAAAAGCAAAAAAGAACCAAGTAGTACGAGATGGTTTAAAAAGAAGAAAAGAGGCCCTACTGCAGGGAAGAGGAAAATGAATTCCAAAAACCAAAAACTTTTGTTTATAAAGACATTGAATACTTTTGCGTGGTCTCTGTGAGGAGCTTCTCAGCCAGAGAAATGAGGTTAGCATCTTTCTCACACCTTCATTTAAACGAGACTGAAAAAGACTGAAGCAATTAGAAGAAGGTAGGAACCACCAAAGGTGATTCTTGACAGTCTTTCAGTCTGACCATATCTTTAGAAGGGAATATTTTAACTCTAATGAGAAAAACAGCAATGAGAGATACCCATTAAGAAACAGGAAAATACCTGGGTTTTACTTGAAGTAGGGAACTTGCCCCTACTAAAGGAGGTTTTAATAAAGATTATTATTAATAGATGCATCTATTATGTTGTGGAGAAAATCTGCCAGGAAGATTCAGAATATTCATTACGGAAGCTGAGTGAAGCTTAATGAAAAAAAGGTGACTTATCTAATACCCTTCCCTGATGGGGATATCTCCACAGAGAGAGGCAGAGGAGCTCAGACTTGAGTGATTTATTTGTAACTATCCAAGAAGTATTCACGTTTAGAATTACAAATCCCAGACCATCTCCAAGCAGTTCTGTCTCGGCTGACGCTCTAGACAGAAGAGAGGATATGTTCTGTTAGTTCAGACTAGGATATCAGGGGGTGGGAATGGTCAGCTCTTACAGCTAGTCCCAGCCTCTGGAACAGTGAAGAGGTATGCTTGAAAGCTGATCGGACCTAAGAGATAGCTGTCCTTAAAAGAGCTACAACCCCTGCTTTCGCTGGTTATATTTTTGGAGAGTTGCTGCAGATTTCCTGATGGCTGCCCAGCACTCCCTCATCTGTCTAATCTGCTGTTGGGTTGGTGATATGTAAATTCCAACATTTGTTTAAATTACACATGCTGCCAAAATGCCTTTTTTTTATAGATTTAAAAACCCTCTGTGATTATCCAAAATCTAATTTAATTTTTGGATGGCTTTTCCCATGGTTTTTCTCTTCATTTTGTCTGTTTTTAAATATTAATTGAAACTGCATACTTTGTGAATACTGCATATTCAGTAGGGTTGTTTCCTCTTTTCTCACTTGTCTGTAATATCAGAATTTCTGCCATATGTGGATATGTGACCCAGATCTTTTCTTTTCAGTGGCCTTTTTGTACAGCTCCCACACATATATTTCCCTGCCTCGGGTTACCTTCTTATTACGTGAATTTTCTTCCCTCATACATTTCTGTGGTTTTTCCTAAAACTTTAGTTCTTTCTCCTTCAGGGTCTGTACCACACTATTCGATCATTTTATTTCTCCCTTTTTTATTCCATAAGTCTTGCTGTAGACATTGTCCTGTTTGGTAGTTTAAACATTCTGGCATAGCTCTGTTTGTCAGCTTAGCTAGGGCATGACGTATTGTTCCACCTGTTGGAAAAACATCTTTGAGTTCCTCAAGCTTAAATTCCTTGTGTTTGAACTATTTTTCACCCATGTGTGTACGGATATGTTTACATGGCCTTTTGCACATGCATCTATGCGAGTCTTTTTGTGCTGATGCTGTAAGCATCCAGCTGGAAGCCAGCATCCTGGGAGGCATCTAGACACATTTAGTCCAGTGCTGTGCTTAATCTATAAAATCCTCTTGAGAAACAAGGTATATTGATCTAGGCACAGCATTATTACACCGTAACAGTGTACCATTTGGATCCTTCCTGGCATATATCTGGGTGGTTCAACATGAATAGTTTTAGCTTGTGCTTGTCTGCCTGGAAAAGACCATTTTTGTCATACTCTTCATCATAAATGTGGAGCTGTTTCATATTTCAGGTGGAAATATGCATGTGTCCCCCGTAATTTATGGGACTGTGAGTCTGCTTCTCCCAAGTATTTGCAGCAATAATCTCCCCTGCAGTAGCCCATAATGATCCCGTCACTATCACAGTACCTCAGAGAATATTCTCGTTGTATGTGACAGTTTAAGCAAATTTAAGTTACTCTTCAGATATGGAGAGAAATCCTAGAGTCCAAAACTCCTCTTTCCC